TCAATTAATATTTATAAATTGAAAACCTTTTTATTAACTTTCGTATAAATGTAAAGTGCGGAAGTGAATTAATAAAAACTCTTCAGTTTACATGAGGATTTCAGAATATATGAGTGAAAGGAAAACCTACAATCTGGGTTTCAAATATATTTTATGTACAGTTGGTTCCGTCTATGGTAAATTTACTATAGACGGTACACAGATAACCAACTGTGCACAAAATATACTTGAAACCCAGATTGTAGGTTTTCCTTTGATGGCACTCATATGCAATTTATTATTTCGGACAACTTTATTTAAGATATAAATATTAATTGTGGCAGATCATAATGAAATTTAGCTTATTTTATATACGATTTTTAAATTTTTTTTGGGCCTTTTTTGTTAGATCTTTTTTTATAGTTAAGTTTAGGGTTTAGGGTTAGAATTATTAGGAAAAGAGTATAAGTAGATTTTGGTAGAGCTTATATATTAAATTGAGACCCCTAAATTTCACAATGATCTGATTTCATTGTGATCTGCCACATTAATTGACTTAGTAAAATTTTTGACTTTAATATATAGCTACGATTATCGATTATATTTTAATTTTGTTTGGCGGCAAATTCTGATTGACTAAAGGGCAACAGAATATCAATTAACATATGTTAAATGACCTTCTAAGTCATTTGGGTCTCTGAATGACCCAATGACTAGTCATTTGTCATTTGGGTCATTTCAGATCATTTACCATCACTGCATTACAACATATTAATTTATTATATTTTGTTAATCAATAGAGCAATGGACATGGAGGTTTGTTGCACTTTGGGTATGTTGAATGAAGACCAAGCTAAAGCTTTGAAAGATGCTGGTTTAACTGCATATAATCATAATTTGGATACATCTCGAGAATATTATCCAAAGGTTTGAATTTAAAAAAATATAATCTTTATTTTTTAATTTACTTATTTACTTATTTCATTAACAATTATACATTTCCCAGATAATAACTACTCGATCCTATGATGAGAGACTTCAAACCATTTCAAATGTTCAAAGTGCTGGTATTTCAGTATGCTCAGGAGGTATTATTGGGTTAGGTGAAACATCTGAGGATCGTGTAAATATGTTACATACTTTGGCAACTTTTGCTCTGCATCCTGAGAGTGTGCCGATTAATGCACTTGTTCAAGTTGAGGGTACACCATTGGAACAACAAGAGGTTTTATTCTTAATTCATTCAAAAGATGTTGATGGATTTTATTTTATAATTAAATTTTAAACCATTTTTTGCAAATTAGCCTGTTTCTATCTGGGAAATGATTCGAATGATTGCAACTGCACGTATAATTATGCCTAAATCGATGATAAGATTATCTGCTGGACGAATTCGGTTCTCCCACCCTGAACAAGTATTTAATATTTCATCAAATCTCTAAATAATTTATTATATTAATTTATATTTTTTTTAAGATATGTTTTCTTTATGCTATTCTATAGGCTCTATGTTTCTTTGCTGGTGCAAATTCTATTTTTACTGGTGATAAATTATTAACAACTGATAATAATGATTATGACTCTGATCAAGAAATGTTCAAAATTCTAGGTAAGTTTTTATTATAAAATATTGTTAGCATTTAAATTTAATTATTTAATTTTTAATTTTTTTTAAAAAAATAATATAGGTCTTACACCAAAAGCTGCAAATTTCAATCAAGGATCATCCCCAATGATTAATCTAAATAATGATAATAAGCAGCAACAAAATGAATTATAAGCAATTTAAATTGCATTAAAAATTCTATTTAAATCTATATATTTAGAATATGCTTTAACTGAATGTTTTAATATTTCTTATTAAATAAAAAAAAAAAACTAAATGTTTTAATGTCTTATCTTAAATAATAATAATAATAATAAAAACTAAATGTTTTAATATCTCATCTTAAATAATAATAATAAAAAAAAAAAACTGAATGTTTTAATGTCATCTTAAATAATAATAATAAAAAAAAAACTAAATTTTTTAATATTTTTATCTTTTTTTTTTTTTTTTTTTTAAATTGCTTATACGCTGTAAATCTTTATTAATTAATATACAATTAGATATTACAGTGAAGGAGTCGTGCTACACTAATTACTTAATGACACCCACCCTAGCAATTTAGTCGTACTTTTACTATTTTTAGAATCTAACTAATGGCTATTACCCCATTAATTAACTTCTTAGTTGGCGTACAACCTACCTATAATATTTTTATCTTAAATAATAATAAAAAAAAAAAAAACTAAATATTTTAATGTCTTAACTTAAATAATAATAAAAAAAAACCTCTGAATATTTTAATGTCTTATAATAATAAAAATATTTTAATAGACAATTCTTACTGTCTTTAAATATAATATGCAAAATCTAAAATATTATGCCAAAATATTAGATTTAAAAAGAAATGTTATTATTTAATTGAAGAAGCTTTGAAATACTAAACTTATACAGTATTAGATAGTATTTTTTTTTCCTTTGATAACCTTGTACAACTTTCTTTATTAAACTTTATACTATAATACAACTTTTATAGTATTAATAAAACTTTAGAGACTTATATTTGGCTTTTTCTATTTTAAAACACCCAAATACGGTTATCGCACTGATAATAGCCAAAATACCCTACATATGGCAAGGCATATTTAAAAATATAGTATAGCCCGGCCTTAGCTGCCTACAATAAACTTCAAAATACAAAGAGATACTATGATTAATAGAGAAGCATAAAATGGGAGAAAGGAAATTTAATAAAAGACAAAAACCAAACAAAAAACCAAAAAATAAAAAAAAAATAAAGCTTTTTATGAATGAAGAATAAGGGTATTCAGGGCCTAAATAAAAATTATATACAATATAAAAGAAATCTATACAGTATATTCATATACAGTATTTCTAGTATAAGGCTATGCATTAACATTTGGTTTGTTTTTTTGATTACATAACTAGTTTAGCAAAAAATTTTAAAACTTAAGAAACAAATATAGTTTTTCTAATTATTTTAACATCTAGTAGTTCAATTTTAATAACCATTTTTCAAATAAAAACTCTTAATAAGATAGTCATGCCTAACAAAAAAAATAGATTCTAAAATATTTAAAGAATAATAAAAGTTTAATATTTAACAAATTAAATTAATATTAGAGTCCTGATAAAGTTAGTAACGCTACTATAAAAAATTGCTAAAAACTACTAAAAACAAGTAAACAAAATAAATACGTATAATAGCATCATAAATGTTATTAAGTTATATTTATTATTTTGTAAAGAGATTTGGTTTATTGCTATTTAAAAACCACTAATTCGAAGATTTCTACACTGTATTACTATAGTAATTGTGTTTTAGATCATTTTTTTCTAATACCCTTGACCATTTGTAATTTTAAATTAATCTAATAAATATTTGACGTGAATTATGTTAATTATTTTTAGTAAAAATATTTTGATACATAAATAAAATTACATCTGTAAACAAATATACGCATTCCTCAAAATCAAATGCTCAAAAAGTTTATAATTGTAAAAAACGTGTAGGCCAAAGTAAAAATTAAACCATGAAAAATGCAGATATATACACAATATGTGAATTAATTATCTATAGAAAGCCGTGTATTTCTAAAAAATCACGTACGTCCATATGCAGAGTCTTCTAAGTCTCGACATTTAATCGAAAATTCTATTACTAAATCTTTAAAACGTTGCGAAGCTCTCGTACTAATAATTGCAACAATCTGTTAGGCTAGAATAAAAATATATAATTCGAACAACGAAATATTTACCTTAAGATAGCTTTAGCAAAGTTTTGTTTCGTATACTGATCCACGTGCGGAGACGGAAAATTCTCCTTTACATTTAATAGAAGGGTTATTTAAATTATTCACCGCATAGATCGCAATAATATTAAATGTTAAATATTTAACTGACCTGAGATAACAAAATATTTAACCACTCTCTACTAGCCTCAATATAGCGTCCTGTTATTTTGTGTAAAACGCTGGCAAGGGAGGGAACAAAAGACCGTGGTAATCTGCCACCAATTCCCTTAACCAATTTAATCATTGTTTAATTCGTCTGTTCTTTTTTTTCAAATAAAGAGAGGAAAATAATTATATACCAGGAGTAATTCTCTCATTATCTCTAATCCACACGCCATCATAACATTCTCTACTCCTTTTGCGAATTGTTCATCTTTGTAATTTTGTCCAATAAATTCTCCCTACAAGCGAATTAGAGTCAATTATTGCAAAATAACCGATTAGAACAGTAAATAATTAATAAACAAACCATAAAATTCACTGCAGACTTCAACGCAAGTCTTTCCTGTAAGCCTAAGCCTGCAACGGAAAATGTCAAAATACTCTTGAACATATCAGAGGGCAAAGTATACAATAATAAAGGACATTTTTGAAGATACTAAAATGAAATGTAGTTACAATTACTAATATTATCTTCGTAATATAATTAAACAAGTAAAAAAATATATATATACTTTTGTCAGGACAGAGAAGTAAGAGTTAACTATATCAGGGTATTGTTCCATATCTAATCAAACATGAGAATTATATTTTCTAATTAAATCAATTTTAATGTATATAATGAAAATGAAAATTCCCAATCGAATTACCGGTTTGACACCTAACGTGCTGTATAGTAGTGGATGTAAGAGCAGCCAACATGTCTCTCAAAGCAGTGCCATATCTATTATTCGAACCATATATAGTCACCACTTTAGCTGCTGTATCTAGCCAATAAGAATGATGATCTCGTTGAAACGAGATCTGAATTAAAGGTGCAATCATCTCAAAAGGGATGGAAAGTATGCTCGAATTGGTGTGAATTCCAATACTGAGAAATTTACAAAGATACTGATATAAAAACAAATTAATTAAATCACAACAGAGATTATGTGTATTATCATTGAACCTAAAAACTATACTTACTTCTATAACCTCACTATCGTGATACCATATTTCTGCAATGTTACTTGTAATTTCTAATAAAGTATTTGCAAGTCCTACAGCCGAACTAGGATCAAAAAAGTTTTCTTCATTCCGTAATTCATGCTCATTATCATCTAAAATGATGACTTTGTCATCGGGTGGTTGAATCCCTCGACAACAACATGTAAGATATTCTAGTTGTGTTATTATTACATCTCGGTATTGAGGAGGGTTCTGTTACAATCAATAAGCTCTGATTACAATTAGAATATAATAAACTAATTAAAATAATGTCAAAAAAAAAAAACCTGTTTTCCACAAAGTACTGCTTCTCTCATTGTTTGTATAATATCATTCGTAACGACCTATGAAATATCGAACTTAGAAATTTACTTATATTTATTTACTAATAAACTTTTATAATTAGGTAAAAACTAAACTTACCAATAGTGGTTGCAGCATTTTGTCAGGCGATAAAGCTTGAATCACATCTGCTATAGATTCAATAACTTTTTGTTTTTCTTTGGGCTAAATCACATAGACTTTAGATTTTCATGAGGGTAAAAAAAAAAAAAAAAAAAAAAGAACATATATATATATATACTTGAATATGTGGGCCAACGACCATATACATGTTAACAAGATTATCTATGTCACCGACTAATGAATCACGACATGCGTCGCACACCTCCTTGAATGACGTGGCAGCTGAAAGAGCCAACTCCGCGTCACTTAGTGCAGGGATAAGATAATTAAGAGCCGATAATATATATTGGGGATGAGATTTAAACCAATCAGCATAAGAACCTTCAATAAAGAACTCTTGATGAGCTTAAAATTGAGGTTATAAAATATAACAAAGAATATTCTATCCAAATTACCAATAAGAGAAAGAGCTGTGTTCCTCAGCCGAACATGTCCTTGTAAAGGTAGCATTCCATACACTTCTGCACCAAACAAACGAGGTAAGTAGACGTTTTCGTTATGATCTACGGCTTCGGCTATAGACTTGATGCAAAATAACGTTGATTCTAAATCCTAAAATGAAAAAATCTGTAAGTAATTCATAATAAATAAAAAAATAGTGCCATATTTGCGCGTAATAACGTCCAGGGATGTAATCTTGAAATTCGGCCTAATTTAAACTTTATCTAGGTCTGTTAAAATAACGCCCATGGCGTTATTACGCGCAAATACGGTACGTTTATTATATATACCTGCCACTGGCTTGGATTCCTTCCTGGTGAGTTCAACTGCGTAATCGCGAGATCTACAAAGAATGCTAACATTTGATCCCGCAATACAAAGTATGAGTTCATAACTGTATCCCCAACATTTCTTCTATATATTTTAAACTGTTCTTTCACATCTGTCGAATTGGTTAGTATTATTAATATCGGTGCAAACAAAGAAACGAATAAATAGTTAATCATATATATGCCTTTAGTCCATTCAGCCCATTCTATGTCTGGTGGGTATTGAATTTTACTTCTTAAAATCTCAACTAATTTTCGAAACACAACCAATGACATTTCTCGTATTTTTTGAGATTCATCCGGTGTAATATGTGAAGTTGACGTAACCGTGTCTTCCCCATTGACGGCATCATTATCAATATTATTAACCGGAATGATATCTGGGTCAGATAAGGATTCTTGTAGGAGATACCAAAATTGCAATGGCATCTCACTAATGTAGATGTGTTGTTAAGGCATTAAAATCAATGTGCATCGCATATAAAATTCTAAAAAAAAAAAAAAAAAAAAAAAAGGATATCTCTTGATCCTGGCCGAAATAACCCGGATATCCTGCGAACATTAACATCATCTCCATGTAAACAATTACATCCTGCCGCAAAAAGTGTATAGCAATGTAATTATAAAAATTTTCTCCAAAAGTTGTCATTAATCTGCAAAGATTTTTTGCCAGCGATTCATCTGCATCTGAAAAGTTAAATAAGCATTCGTCAATCAAAATTAAATAAATAAATAAATAAATTTAAAATATCTGCAATTTAGCCTAAGATTTTGTGAATTACCATTAACCATTTGGGCTTTAGCCCAATCACTAGTCATACAACAAAGCATTTTCTCGCACACGGTATTCTGATACGATGTGATGCGAGGTTGCGATATGAACTCCACTAATACATCAGTTACCGAATCATTAGTTGATTCATGTGAAAAGAGATTTATTACGTTATCGATAAGTAGAAAAAGAGAACTACATAACAAAGATTAGAAAGTTTCAAAATAAAGGTAAATGAAGTACAGCCTAAGAAAGTAAACACATTACTCGAATGGGACACCATATAAAATCCAGCTTTGTAGACATCGTAAGCATTTTTGTTTTAATATTAAATCATGTTCTGGATTTCCGCAATATTCGGATAATAAAGATCGTAATGTCGAAAACACTCTTGGAATAGAATTAGTGAGCTCCTGGTAAACTTTAGCCCTAATACCGAGTATATGATATTATTAGAAAGCATAAAATAATATATGATATGACCTTAGGAATATTTGTGGCCATTACTTTCGTTCCCCAATCAAATCCGCCCGTAAAACTTCTTCAGGAACAACAGTAAGAAATTCTAGGAGCGGTAACTCGAAGAATAAGGATCGCCCTTCATTTTTGGGCAGCAATTACTCCAGAATGTAACATTTCGAAAAAATCAGGTATAAAATTTGACCAAATATCCGGTACAGCTTGTAGTGCATAAGCAGTGAGCTTTAAACCGTATTACAAGTTTATCAGTGACCATCAAATAGTAAATTTAGATACAGACTTTAATAAATCTAACTTACAGCAAGACAAAGCTTTGTAACAACAATATTAGAACCACTAGAATGACGGACAATCCATCCAAGAAGTTCTGTACGAACCCATTTCTTCCGATCAAGAGGCAAAGTATTCCTTTTCATGTATCAAAATAATTAAATTAATTATATAATTGTTCATATTGTAAAAACATTAACAATTGACCTTTTTCACGTTGCAATTGATCTGACTATACCAAATCACACCATATTTCTAAATCATTTATAAATAGTCCATACCAATCTCTAGAAATTTTGACTTGAAAGATGTGAGCTCCAATAAATTGGGCATTAACTGACTGAAATAGAAATAAAATTTCAATGAGGATTTTACGTCAAAATAGCGATCGAAACAGAGATAGCACTAGTTGACCTGGGAGGCTAATAGCTGAGGAGCCAAATCCCAAGCATACTGCTGCTTTTGAAGGTTCTGTATGTATTCTTGTGCAGACTTCTGGAAATGCGGATCAATGCTTTCATAAAGTTGAACTATTATCTTGTAAAAATTCAGGCTGTAAGGCTGAGTCTAGAACTGAAAGGATTATAATGAGAAAAGAAAATAAGAAAAAATTGGTAATACTTGTTCAACTTGCGAAACAGAAGGCGGCTGAAATTCCATTTTCGAAGCGCCGCCCTTTATATCTTAAGAAAAGAAGTTCTTGAACCTAATGGAAACTCGTCTAATTTATTTTTTAACACTAATCACATGAGTTCTGGAGTTACGCGTATGCGTGCAGAAATTCAAATGATAATATTACGTATCCATATGCAGCATATATCAAATATATTTAACTGTTAACAGTTAAAAATAATTTTTTACGTACGTATAACTGATAAATACCTGGTATTGTATTATATATTTTCAAATATCTCTGATTATACTTGCTGGCAAAACTATTGGGATTTCTGGATTTGGGCCGAATTTTATTGGATTTGGGTGGGATTTTGAAATTTTTAATTTTGTTAATAAATTTTTGAAAAAAAAACTTTTCCACTTTAGGAAAGATTAATATGTGAAACATATTTTGTATATCACCCAATCAGAGTAGTTCACTATGATAGTAAAATAAGCGGGAAAGCACATAAGGAAAATACGTGATTATCAACTATCAAATTCTTTTACTATGGAACCTCCAATTGTTTATTATCCTCGTTCGGAATATATTGAAACTGTAAGGATTGCTGGTTTTCAGTTTATGTATACGCTCTTATACAACTGGTCTTTTATTTTACGTAATAAATAGGATACAGGCAACAAAGTGAGCCGTAAGTCTGTAATTTGTGGGAGTCAAAATATTATTCTTGGGGGAAAGGTATATATGCGTAATGTGTAAAACCTTTTTCTGTAAATACTGTGACTATGGAATGAAATTTTAAATTTACTTGCATTTATTCAGACCATAATTCAGACTGACTGTGTAATTCGTGGTGATTTGAGACGTACTGGTGGTGGTCACGCAGTAGTCGTAGCTATCGGAAGATACTGTCTTTTGGCAAAAGGGTGTATTATTAGACCTCCGTACAAAACCTACAAAGGGTATGAAAATTTTTATCTCTCTAATTTAGTGTAAAAAAAGTATTAAACTTTATATATTATTTATAATAGAATTTTTAGTTATTATCCTATGAAAATCGGAGATCATGTCACTATTGGTGAAGGAAGTATCGTTGAGGCAGCAACTATAGGCTCATATGTACATATTGGAAAAAATTGTGTTATTGTAAGTGAAGAATTTTTATTATAAAATAACTTATCGTTAAAGCTAGTTTGGAATAATTTTGGTAATTATTTTCTATAGGGAAGGTTTGCAATCATAAAAGACTGTTGCAGAATTGAGGATAATACTGTAATACCACCAAACACAGTTGTGCCTTCCTTTTCGATTTACGAAGGATCTCCTGGTACGATATTTTTCTCTATAGATAATTTATATTTGCTTTACCTAACGATATTCTATTCTTCAATCCTAGGCATGTTTGTAGACGAACTACCTGAATGTGTACAGGATCTTTATGAAGCTAAAACAAAAGATTACTATGCTAAATTCCAATCTAAAGATAGTTGAGACAAAGACATTCCTCAACAATGGCATCATAATGATTTTAATCAATCTCGTAACTATAAAAAAGGTGTATGATGCCAATTCAAATTTAATTAATGTACTATTATTATTTCTTACAATTATTCAGATATAGTTTATAAATAGGCTATTTTTTTTTTGACACATCATACATGAGTATGTTCAATTTAACTGAAGCAACTTTTTAATCGATGACAAAAACCACATCTTCTGATAGAAAAGATCTTAAACCAATATAATTTAATACAAAATTTTTTATTTAACCAAATTATTTTTTATTTAGTAAATCATTTAATATGGTCAACTCTATACTGTTTAGCAGATTTTTAGTTAAAGTAAATTCTAAATATATGAATTTTTTAAACTGTATATTTGGTATATAACAGATAGTACATGGTATATGTGATGATAGCAAAAGCTTAACTATGAATATTTGTAAATCTATTTAAATTCTTAATTTATATTTAATGATATTTTATTTTTTAATTCCTAGGCATGTTTGTAGACAAACTACCTGAATGTGTACAGGATCTTTATAAAGCTAAAACAAAAAGATTATTATGCTAAATTTCAATTTATAGTTAAGACAAAGATATTTTACAAAGAGCTGGGTTAATCAATGTTTGAAAATTAGGTAAAAGTCGAACCAATTGGTTTGAAAAATTGCATGTATGAAATAGAATTGCACTTCTAATAAAACATTAAAAAAATTAATTAGATAAGACTACTTAAGTAGTAAATATAGTTAAAAGAATTTGACTAATTTTATTTTTATAAAAAATTTTTTATGTTTTAAATATAAAAATTTGTAATTTAAAAATTTGGATGTTTGGATATTTAGAATTGGACTTTACTATATGTCCAACGTCCAATTGGACATTGGACATCACATGACCAAGATCACATGTGATTGGACAATATTCGTGTTACCTTTAACAGAGTATATACTGCCGTATTTAATTTTAATCAATCTAAAATTATGGATTATACAGGGTTCAAGACTTTTATGTCCAAGAATCACGATTGGACTTTGGATTAGACGTCCAATCCAAAGATGTCCAAGCATCTAATTTTATCCAAAATACATCACTGTGTGTGTATATATGAGTGTCACCAAAAAAAACCCCCGACAATTTAAATATAGACTACTGTCGACTCAGCATAGCAGAAGTTTGTTTTGATTGGCTGTTATTAGGATAAATATGATTGGCGACGATCTTTTTTTTATATAGTCAATTGTAATTTTTAAAGTACTTTTAATAGTAAAAATCGTCGTGTCATATGAAACTTTTTTT